GACTGGGAATGGGTTGGTGTGAGGGCTAGTCAGACTGGGAATGGGTTGGTGTGAGGGCTAGTCAGACTGGGAATGGTTTGGTGTGAGGGCTAGTCAGACTGGGAATGGGTTGGTGTGAGGGCTAGTCAGACTGGGAATGGGTTGGTCTGAGGGCTAGTCAGACTGGGAATGGGTTAGTTTAGTTAGGGTTAGTAATATGACCATAGTGCCTCCTGGAGAGCCTTACCCCTTCACGCTGAGTCCGCAGATACTTTTTAAGAGAGAGCACGGGTTAGAGAAGACTTGATGGTGACATCACTGTTTTATAGTGTTAACATTTACATTAATTTAAGTAAATCCCTAAAATCGATGACTATTGCCAGAAACTGATAACAACATTTCCAAGGGCTACCCATAGATGGAGAGCTAGTATCAGCATGGGGTCCAGACATGTAAAACCTGCCATGTCTCAGAGTATGTTATGTAGGGAGCGTGAGGAGGGCTTAGGACCCCAACGCATTTCACTCCTCAATCTGTGTCAGCCATTCTGCTTTCTAATCTCTTGTTCCAGGATTTTGGGGTCAAAGCCCTCATGGATTGACGACCTGGTGAAGTCACTGTTGGAAGCATCAGGCGGGAATGTGGTGGCAGTGGATTGGGTGTATGGTTCGACGGCCAAGTATAACGAAGCCGTGGATAACATACCAAAGCTGAGTCAGGAAATCGTGGACCTCATTAAGGAAATGATGGTACGGAGGAAGACCTACATCTCAGCCTCCCCTATCTCCTCCAAAATACCCAGATCTCCAGCTCCCATAGAGAGTCAGGAAGAATATTACTCCACAAATAGAAAAACAACAAAGAATGTGTAACAAAATGAATCAGTATATTAAAATATAAACATGCATGTTGACAGTCAGAGTAGATGCTTGCTAAAATCCTGAAGTGAGGGTAATACTCTGTACTCTATACATCAACTGCGACCCGCGGAGACTGCACAGAAACCATCTTGGTAATTAGTTTGGTAGATGGCGCTTTTATATCTTTTGAGTTTTTGAAATGCAGAGAGACTGTTTGTTGGTTGTCATTTCACCTATTAACTCATCCATTACTCTGTAATACCAGCAATGACATACTTGCACATAACTCTTAAAGGGACACCCACTGCCCAAATACAAAAAAACAAACAAACCACGGTTTAGTAGCTATACCCTCAATGAAAACATGTATGCATTTAATGAAGCATTTTTAATATATATCTAAAAAGGCTTGTAACACATGCAGATCTCTTTCCTGCAGCATTTGCAAGCCCTCCCCTCGTAACCCCGCCCAGACTTTATGTGGTTGTCCAATCACAGACTTCCCATACAATGAGAAGTCTTTGTAAGTCAGGTGCTCTTGGCAATATCTGCCTCTTGAGTTTAGCTCCACTGAGCTAACCAAACCAGGAAGTAACATGACTGATGGTTTGCTTGACAGGCAGGGGGGTGTAACCAGGCTAATTTGTAAAAATGCCAACTTCTACTGAAATCTGCACTTTTTGTAAAATGAGAGCTGACCCATAAAGCAAGATAAATGTTTTATGGGTCTGGAGCAGGCCCAGACTGGCCATCAGGCACACCGAGCAAATGCCCATGGGGCCACGATGGCCATGGGCCAAGGCCGGCAGGGGAAGTCACAGGATCTCCCCAGCTGGTCCATGCAGGGCCCGCGCTATTCGAGCGCCGGCCCCGCTGTGTTCCATGACGGGATGGTGGGGAGATCAAAGATCTTCCCCACTGGCCCATGGTCAGTTACATGCGGCCGCAGGTTGGGGAGGAAGGGAGGGAGACAGGAGAGGACCCGAAGGAGCTCTATCTTGCAGCTCCGCCGGGTTCCTCTTGTGAGATCCAGAGTGTTGCCATGGCCAGAAGCTAGAGTTCACTCACCACTACGACCACCAGGGATGGCAGCACTGTCCTCCTTCCCAGGCTAAAAGTAAGAAGGGAGGTGGGTATAATATGTGTGTGTGTGTGTGGGGGAGGGGGGGGATTTATTTTTTTATTATTTATTATTATTATTTATTATAAAAAAAAACATATATTGGCATTAACTTGCCTCCCCCCACCTCTGCCAATACAAAATCCCTCCAAATACGCACCTTCACACACACACTGCACAACTCTCACACCGCATCCTCACACACACACAAACACACACGCACCCACATACTCACAGCAGCCCACAAACACACTGCACCACACACACACAATACTTCCAAACATATATGTGTATATATACTACAGGACCCCTCACAGACATATTGCACCCCTAAACACATTACATTCCAGACACACACTAGATTGCTTACCTAACTCTGAATCCTCTACACACTCACTAGATCTCCTATACACACTCTGGGTCCCCTATGCACACACTAGATTCCCTAAACACACACTCCATCACCTATATACACACGCGCTAAATCCCCTATACACACACTCTACTGCACCTAGACACACATACATTCCACAACATGACTGAAACCGACCTTCTTACACAATACCACACCACAATCACGCTACACACACACACAATCCCATAAGCAGGCTCCAAACACATGCACAATACCCCTTTTCTAGCAATCTTGGCTCCTTGCTCCCATTTATGGAGACACCAGAGACAAGTTTCAAGCAAACACAATGCAAGCATGTTATTAAATTTGAAAAAAGGGGTGAAGGTAATTAGCACTCACAGAAATAAATAAATGTTACCTTATACATATAAAGGTGAATCAAACTTCTGATAACCTACAAATAGACACATATAACAGACATAGTGTAATCTGCATATACAGAAATAGTAGGAAAAGGAGATATGCACATCAAACTCACAATTTCCAGAGCCTTTTTTAAAAGTTGGCTCTAAACTTATGGGGCATATCGTCTCCTCCTTGAGACACAAAGTGATCCTCAGGAACTTGAAGGTGGTAATATAGCAGCAGACTCCAACATGAATATTTAAAAAGTAATGAATTTATTTCACCAAATAAAAATATATAAAATACATAAATTATTGCACAACGCGTTTCAACCAATGTAGGTCTTTCTCAAGTGCATCTAACTACACACTGAACTTGAACCTGCTTTTATATCATCAGTAACAGGCTACCAATTAAGGCAAATAGATTCATATGTATATAAACACCCCCCACTCCCATATATGGTCATAGCCGGAAGTGTCAAGCCCACCAAAAAGATGGCTGCACCTCCGGCTATAAACCATACCCTGCCGCCCTCCCAAAACATGACCGCTATACCCATGTGTCCATAATGTAGTTTCTTTCCAGTTTTGAACTCCGATACGTCATATCCTGGAGGAACTTTGGATCTGAGTTATGTCTTTCCAAAAAATGTTTGGATACGCTATGATTTAAAAACCCTTTTTGAATATTTCTAACGTGTTCACTTATTCGGGTTTTTAGTGGTCTCGACGTCTTACCTATATACTGTAGACCACATGTACAGTTTAAAAGGTATATAACATTATTTGAGTGACACGTAATCATTGACTTAATTTTAAACTTTCTTTTTGTATTTGTAGACATAAATTCAATTACATTTTTTTCTTCAATATTTGTTTTTTTACATGCATTGCACATCCCACAATGATAAAAACCTTTTTGAGTCTTTGATCAATTAGATAAAAAATTACTATTATTAAGGGAAGTTTTTTCAATAAAACTATTAGTTAAAATTTGTTTAAAATTCTTTGCGCCTCTGAAAACAAATTTTGGTTTGGAACCCAAATATTCTATTATTTCGTCATCTTGACTTAAAATATTCCAGTTCTTATTAATAATCTTTTTAACAGTACCTATGTTACTTGAATAATTAAAAATGAATGGAATTTGTTGATTGATATTGTCAGTAGTAGAGGTTACTCTTTTTTTTTTATTTTTATATTCTAGAAGGGGAGATCTGTCTAAAGATGATACTGTTTGGATTTGAGTATCAAGATCTTTTACAGCATATCCTTTTTGAATAAATTGTTTTTTTAAAACTTCGGCCTGCTGGGAAAAATCTTGTTCATTTGTACACTTCCTACGTAATCTTAGGAACTGTCCCCTCGGGATATTTTTCAGCCAAGGTTTGTGATGACAACTGCTAATTTCAATATAACTATTAACGTCAACTTGTTTAAAAAAAAGTACGAGTGTTCAGTTGACTATTAACAATAAAAATATTTAGATCTAAAAAGTCTATACTGGTGTTACGCACATTTTTAGTTAGACGGATCCCCCAATCATTACAATTGAGAAAATTAAAAAGATCTTCTGTCCCCTTCCAAATTATAAAAATGTCGTCAATATATCTTCTATAAAGGACCAGGTTTGCACCACAGCTATGTCCTTGGTATATATACATGCACGTTCCCAATATGACATGAAAAGGTTGGCATAGCTGGGTGCAAACCTGGTCCCCATAGCTGTACCTCTGGTCTGCAAATAAAAATCTCCCTCGAACCAAAAATAATTGTTTTCTAAAATCATATGGATGCCATCTAAAATGAAGTTACACTGAGCTTCATTATATTTATTAGATTCCTTCAAGAAAAATTCAGTTGCCTCACACCCTTTCTCATGTTTAATAATGGTGTATAGACTGGTGACATCACAAGTAATGAGAAGATAATCGTCTTCCCATTTAAAACTATTAAGAATCTTTAATAGACTCATTGAGTCTTGGAGGTAAGAGGGACAGTCTTTAACTAAAGGTTGCAAATGAAAGTCTATATATTGCGACAATGGTGATAAAATAGAATTTATGCCAGATATTACCCCCTTACCCCCTAATCCTGTTGTCCCTGTGAGGGTAGTTGGGGATCTGGACAGGCTGTCCAGCATCCCTGTAAGTCGGGCACAGAGACCACGGTCCCCTCTGCGCCATCTGGGAGATTGGGGTCTCCCCTTGGTAGGGTAAGCTGCCGCTGGGGAGATAGGGTGCTGTGCTCCTCTCCCTGAAACACAGGCTGCCGCTGGAGAGGGAGACCGCCTGTCTCCACTCCCATAACATTGTCCTGCTGCTGGAGAGAGAGACCAACTGTCTCTGCTCCCTGTAGGACACACTGCTGCTGGGGAGGAAGGACGACACCTTCGGCTCCCTGGAATTCGCACTGCCGCTGGGGAGGAAGGACGACACCTTCGGCTCCCTGTAACTTGCACTGCCGCTGGGGAGGAAGGACGACACCTTCGGCTCCCTGTAACTTGCACTGCCGCTGGAGACTAGGTGTCCATATCCTCAATCTCCACAGTTGTCGCTCAAAGGCCATTGCCGCACTGTTCTCAGCACTCAACTGGCGCATTACTTGGTGGACCACCTCGTTCGAAAGGTCTGGGCCATAGCAGACCAACCGCCTCTTTACCTCCTCAATGTAAGCGTCGTCCTCGTAGCGACGTATCATGTTGAGGTGCTCTTCGCAGGGCTCTATCCATCCCTGCTCCATGCTGCAGTAGTTAGGGACGCTGCACAGTGGCTAGCGTTGCCCTCAATAACCTCTCATACGATACCAGTGTCTCCGAGCTGCTTCTCCTCGCACTAGGACGCCATCCCACCGCTGCCACCGATGTAACGGAGCTCCTTGTACTCCGACTGAGTACCCTCCGTTGACGGATGCTCCTAGCGCTTCCTGAGGACTCCAAGCGCTGCAGCAGACACCACAACCACCACAGACTCCGCAACCGCTGTATCTCGACTGGAGTCTCGCCGTCTTCCTTCCACCCTGGATCACCTTCTGTCCTCCAGGACTGTGTGGGAAAGAACTCTTCCTTCCACCCTGTACGAACCTCCAGCACCCAGGACTGTGTGGTGAAGACCCCTCCTCCAAGGAGAGCGTGTCAGGAACAAGCTCTTAAAAGAGCTAAGTGACTCAAGCTCAGGGGAGCATGCAGAGCATAGCAATCCCCAGTGTGATTATAACAGCTCCCTCCAATAACAAGACAAGGCTACATTTAGAGGGATCAAGAAGAACTGTCAAAACCTTTATTTCCCTTGGGACCAGCCAATAGGGTCACCACAATAACATTGTTGTGAAACCTCAATAAAATCACAAACAGTCAAACCATATCAAGAAACACACAGTGACTTATCACAACACAATGGCACATTTTTAAAGGGGTGGGGGGAGACAATATTTAACAGTAAATATCTCACCTGCCTGCAGAATTAGCAATATGCAAATCTACCCGAATATGCAAATGAACCAGTCTTGCAATTCAGGTAGTGCATATTGCTGTTGCTACCAACAGAGGGCACTAGACAAGCTCCATAGCCAAACCCACCTAGTTGGTAGCAAACCTCAGCAATACAAGAGAGCAGGCAATACATTACACAGTACACACACACACACTATAAACAATTACATTACACACACCCTGCACCTATAATGGGTACAGGGTGACTAAAACATAAGATAAATAAAGCAGCCTACATAAATAGTCTGTCTGAAGGTAGACTAGGGGCTTTAAAGCCAGATACATGAAAGAGTCATAGTCACAGGGGAGGAGGCTGGCAAGTAGGCCTCTCCAGGACCAAGTGGCGAAGGGCACTTTGTCACAGTTATATACCTTTTAAACTGTACATGTGGTCTACAGTATATAGGTAAGACGTCGAGACCACTAAAAACCCGAATAAGTGAACACGTTAGAAATATTCAAAAAGGGTTTTTAAATCATAGCGTATCCAAACATTTTTTGGAAAGACATAACTCAGATCCAAAGTTCCTCAATTTCCATGCGATAGAGAAAATAGAATCTCATTGGAGAGGAGGAGATACTGCTAAACATTTGAGTACCCAAGAAGTTAAATGGATATTCGAAATGCACACCCTAATACCTCAGGGTCTGAACATCGATTTTGAAATAAACAGTATTTTATGAGTAATTATGTTACGATAAAATTTCTTTTAATTTTAAATTTCTATTACATTTTATGGATCTTTATTATATTCAATTTTATTAATATATAACACCAGAATAGAAAGGGTTGTATATATATTTTTGATGTATTCCTTTCCCTCCTTTCTTTTCTGACACATTGGCTATATAGTATGGTATTATTACAAAATACATCACAAAGTAGCAATAATGCAATATATGTATATTTGTAAATATTTTTAATGATCTTTATGTCTTATTATGTTCTATTTTTTCCTCTCCTTCTGTTTTTTATATATTTGGATACTAACACCATGAACTATGGGCTTTTTGCCCTATTTCCAAACGGACTCGATTCCTCTTCCGCCCACGTGATCTTCCTGTTCACATGACTCTACATATGTTACGGAGACGGCGTCCTGCTTTGTTTTCCCACGTGACCTGGATCGATGCGTCACAGGATATGACGTATCGGTGTTCCGTCAGCTTGCCCACGTGACCCGGATCGATGCGTCACAGGATATGACGTATCGGAGTTCAAAACCGGAAAGAAACTACATTATGGACACATGGGTATAGCGGTCATGTTTTGGGAGGGCGGCAGGGTATGGTTTATAGCCGGAGGTGCAGCCATCTTTTTGGTGGGCTTGACACTTCCGGCTATGACCATATATGGGAGTGGGGGGTGTTTATACACATATGAATCTATTTGCCTTAATTGGTAGCCTGTTACTGATGATATAAAAGCAGGTTCAAGTTCAGTCTACAGTTAGATGCACTTGAGAAAGACCTACATTGGTTGAAACGCGTTGTGCAATAATTTATGTATTTTATATATTTTTATTTGGTGAAATAAATTCATTACTTTTTAAATATTCATGTTGGAGTCTGCTGCTATATTACCAGCTTCAAGTTCCTGAGGACTGATTTGCCATATTACCAGCTTCAAGTTCCTGAGGATCACTTTGTGTCTCAAGGAGGAGACGATATGCCCCATAAGTTTAGAGCCAACTTTTAAAAAAGGCTCTGGAAATTGTGAGTTTGATGTGCATATCTCCTTTTCCTACTATTTCTGTATATGCAGATTACACTATGTCTGTTATATGTGTCTATTTGTAGGTTATCAGAAGTTTGATTCACCTTTATATGTATAAGGTAACATTTATTTATTTCTGTGAGTGCTAATTACCTTCACCCCTTTTTTTTCATAATCACGTTTTAAGTGTAATAGGTGCCACTACACTTGGGTAATTTTTGGCTGCACCAGGTTCTAAGAATTCTAAGCGCCGTGGTCCTTTATTGTTTTTTGTTTATAATGTTATTAAATTTGCTTGCGCTGTGCAGAAGAAATACAGGGCCTTTGTCTCATGCTAGAGCTCTTCAGCAGAGCTCTGCGCATGGTCTGCCCTGGAAGATTGAACCAAAATGCTCACTTTGTGATGGGGCGTGTTTGTCATTGGCGATGGCAAAACACACCCTCTCTGCCCCGCCCCCTTTTCAGTGGGCTGCTGTGATTTAAAAAAAAAAATGCCCGGACCAAATTTTTTTTCCCAGTCCGGCTCTGGTCTGGAGTGTCTCTTTAAATTTGCTGTTTGCCTTCATATTGATCCCCCTGGGCCCCGCACAATTCTAAATAAATGTGTTAATTCTGTATTGATGAAATTTAATATTTGCTGATAATTCCACTTTAAAATAAACTTACAGGATAATAATAAAAGTATCGATGCATTGTATCTGTAAAATATCCTGTGTTTGGTTTCTCACTGATTAGTGAATGATATAAAGCCTGGTGTCCCAGGTAGGTTTATTCCAGATACGTGGCTGATATTTCCATCTATCCTATATTTCCAGCTACTGGGGTCCACGGAGGATTCTATTCACCTGATTGGCATTAGCCTTGGTGCCCATGTCGCTGGGAGAGTTGGGCAGGTCTTTAGTGGTCGTCTAGGGCAAATTACAGGTATGGAGTATAGCGGGGTAACTGGATATCTCTGCTTTAGAAATTGAAAAAAATGCATTATTAAAACTAAAACTATTCTTAAAAATGGCTTAAACTATTTTAAATATATAATTTTTCTTTATTACTTAGTGTACTAACCTGACAGTGTGACCCCCCGCTGTACTGCCCTGACAGTGTGACCCTACTGCCCTGACAGTGTGACCCTCCCCGCACTGCCCTGACAGTGTGTACTGCCCTGACAGTGTGACTCCCCCCCCCCGTACTGCCCTGACAGTGTGACTCCCCTCCTGTACTGCCCTGACAGTGTGACTCCCCTCCTGTACTGCCGTGACTGTGTGACCCCCTGTACTGCCCTGACTGTGTGACCCCCTGTACTGCCCTGACTGTGTGACCCCCTGTACTGCCCTGACAGTGTGACTCCCTGTACTGCCCTGACAGTGTGACCCCCTGTACTGCCTTGACAGTTTGTGGCTTTATCTGAAATGATATACTATAGTTTAATTTTAGTGTAATTATTGTGTACTTTATACGGTTCATTCTCTTCCAGGGCTGGATCCGGCTGCATTTAAATTCACAAACGTTGAGATGGACTTGAGACTAGATCCCAGCGATGCTGTATTCGTAGAAGCCATTCACACAGACACAGACAGTACGTTGGGCCAGTGTCACCCAAAATCCATAGAATGTATCCCTTTAAATGTGGGAGAGGGGATTGTGATAAATGTATCAGATAGCTCGGGGGGAGGGGGGCAGGGAGGGGGGACATAGGTAGGAATGATGGAGAACTTAAAACATGTTTATAGTTATTTTTGGTGTAATTAGACATTTATCCTGGGTCTATAATCTTCCATCTTGGAGAGCGATGTTCAGATAATGCGATGGGATTGGTGAATATCTGTTTCGATCCTTTATTCTAACAGTTTCTTGTTAATTCTTGCAGATTTCGGGATCCGAATCCCTGTAGGACACGTGGATTTCTTTATTAACGGAGGCAGAGACCAGCCGGGCTGTCCGTCTCTGCGCAACTGTAATTACACTCACTCCTGCACGCAATAACATCATAGATAGACGCTAGAAATAAACCCACTCCTACCAGGACTTAAAATGGAAACTGTGACTTCCTTGGCTTTTACATATGTTTGCCTATCCCTATATATAACAAATGTATAGTCAGATGTGAAAAATAACATTAAATGTAGAAATCCACATTACTTTGTCCTGTAACTGGGTGCCTCCATCTTAGCTTCCTGTCAGTCATTGTTATAAGCTCCGCCCTTTACACCTGGCAGTCAGTATAGAGAGAGCCACCTCCATCTTAGCTCCCTGTCAATCATTGTTATAAGCTCCGCCCTTTACACCTGGCAGTCAGTATAGAGAGAGCCACCTCCATCTTAGCTCCCTGTCAATCATTGTTATAAGCTCCGCCCTTTACACCTGGCAGTCAGTATAGAGAGAGCCGCCTCCATCTTAGCTCCCTGTCAATCATTGTTATAAGCTCCGCCCTTTACACCTGGCAGTCAGTATAGAGAGAGCCGCCTCCATCTTAGCTCCCTGTCAATCATTGTTATAAGCTCCGCCCTTTACACCTGGCAGTCAGTATAGAGAGAGCTACCTCCATCTTAGCTCCCTGTCAATCATTGTTATAAGCTCCGCCCTTTACACCTGGCAGTCAGTATAGAGAGAGCCGCCTCCATCTTAGCTCCCTGTCAATCATTGTTATAAGCTCCGCCCATTACACCTGGCAGTCAGTATAGAGAGAGCCACCTCCATCTTAGCTTCCTGTCAATCATTGTTATAAGCTCCGCCCTTTACACCTGGCAGTCAGTATAGAGAGAGCCACCTCCATCTTAGCTCCCTGTCAATCATTGTTATAAGCTCCGCCCTTTACACCTGGCAGTCAGTATAGAGAGAGCCGCCTCCATCTTAGCTCCCTGTCAATCATTGTTATAAACTCCGCCCTTTACACCTGGCAGTCAGTATAGAGAGAGCCGCCTCCATCTTAGCTCCCTGTCAATCATTGTTATAAGCTCCGCCCTTTACACCTGGCAGTCAGTATAGAGAGAGCCAGCTCCATCTTAGCTCCCTGTCAATCATTGTTAGAAGCTCCGCCCTTTACACCTGGCAGTCAGTATAGAGAGAGCCACCTCCATCTTAGCTCCCTGTCAATCATTGTTATAAGCTCCGCCCTTTACACCTGGCAGTCAGTATAGAGAGAGCCGCCTCCATCTTAGCTCCCTGTCAATCATTGTTATAAGCTCCGGCCTTTACACCTGGCAGTCAGTATAGAGAGAGCCGCCTCCATCTTAGCTCCCTGTCAATCATTGTTATAAGCTCCGCCCTTTACACCTGGCAGTCAGTATAGAGAGAGCCCCCTCCATCTTAGCTCCCTGTCAGTCATTGTTATAAACTCCGCTCTTTACACCTGGCAATCAGTATAGAGAGAGTCGCCTCCACCTTAGCTCCCTGTCAATCATTGTTATAAGCTCCGCCCTTTACACCTGGCAGTCAGTATAGAGAGAGCCTTCTCCATCTTAGCTCCCTGTCAATCATTGTTATAAGCTCCGCCCTTTACACCTGGCAGTCAGTATAGAGAGAGCCGCCTCCATCTTAGCTCCATGTCAGTCATTGTTATAAGCTCCGCCCTTTACACCTGGCAGTCAGTATAGAGAGAGCCACCTCCATCTTAGCTCCCGGTCAATCATCGTTATAAGCTCCGCCTTTTACACCTGGCAGTCAGTATAGAGAGAGCCGCCTCCATCTTAACTCCCTGTCAATCATTGTTATAAGCTTCGCCTTTTTTGAACTAGATTGTGATGTCATCTGCTAAATCTTTAACTTTGAATGTAAAAGTAAATAGAGCATCTCATGAAAATAGTTACAACACAGGTTATTGTTGATGATTTAATCCTGTAAATTCCAGAGAGGAGACCGTCCCCCTTTATAGCAGTTTAAACCTTTACTCATGTTCCTGTAATGCCCCTTTAAATCCTGCTTTACGATAGATATAGGGATACATTGTCTTCATTTTGGGGTGATTCCCACCCAGCCCTTTTCTAAGGTCCCCCAGACACTGGTAATTAATAGATACATTGATACATTGATATATTGTCTTCAATGGTGAATAATAGATACATTGATATATTGTCTCCATTGGGGATTAATAGATACATTAATATATTGTCTTCAATGGTGAATAATAGATACATAGATACATTGTCTCCATTGGTGAATAATAGATACATTGATATATTGTCTCCATTGGTAATTAATAGATACATTGTCTCCATTGTCTCCATTGGTGATTAATAGATACATTGTCTCCATTGGTAATTAATAGATACATTGATATATTGTCTCCATTGGTAATTAATAGATACATTGATATATTGTCTCCATTGGGGATTAATAGATACATTGATATATTGTCTCCATTGGTGAATAATAGATACATTGCCTCTATTGGTGATTAAGAGATACATTGATTTATTGTCTCCATTGGTGAATAATAGATACATTAATATATTGTCTCCATTGGTAATTAATAGATACATTGATATATTGTCTCCATTGGTAATTAATAGATACATTGATATATTGTCTCCATTGGTGATTAATAGATACATTGATACATTGTCTCCATTGGTGATTAATAGATACATTGATATATTGTCTCCATTGGGGATTAATAGATACATTGATATATTGTCTTCAATGGTGAATAATAGATACATAGATACATTGTCTCCATTGGTGAATAATAGATACATTGCCTCTATTGGTGATTAAGAGATACATTGATTTATTGTCTCCATTGGTGAATAATAGACACATTAATATATTGTCTCCATTGGTAATTAATAGATACATTGATATATTGTCTTCATTGGTGAATAATAGATATATTAATATATTGTTTCCATTGGTGATTGATACATTGTCTCCATTGGTGAATAATAGATACATTAATATATGGTCTCCATTGGTAATTAATAGATACGTAGATACATTGATATATTGTCTCCATTGGTAATTAATAGATACATTTATATATTGTCTCCATTGGTGATTTAATAGATACATTGATACATTGTCTCCATTGGTGAATAATAGATACATTAATATAATGTCTCCATTGGTAATTAATAGATACATAGATACATTGATATATTGTCTCCATTGGTGATTAATAGATACATTGATACATTGTCTCCATTGGTGATTAATAGATACATTGATATATTGTCTCCATTGGGGATTAATAGATACATTGATATATTGTCTTCAATGGTGAATAATAGATACATAGATACATTGTCTCCATTGGTGAATAATAGATACATTGATATATTGTCTCCATTGGTAATTAATAGATACATTGTCTCCATTGTCTCCATTGGTGATTAATAGATACATTGTCTCCATTGGTGATTAATAGATACATTGATACATTGTCTCCATTGGTAATTAATAGATACATTGATATATTGTCTCCATTAGGGATTAATAGATACATAGATACATTGTCTCCATTGGTGAATAATAGATACATTGATATATTGTCTCCATTGGTAATTAATAGATACATTGTCTCCATTGTCTCCATTGGTGATTAATAGATACATTGTCTCCATTGGTGATTAATAGATACATTGATACATTGTCTCCATTGGTAATTAATAGATACATTGATATATTGTCTCCATTAGGGATTAATAGATACATGATACATTGTCTCCATTGGTGAATAATAGATACATTGCCTCTATTGGTGATTAAGAGATACATTGATTTATTGTCTCCATTGGTGAATAATAGACACATTAATATATTGTCTCCATTGGTAATTAATAGATACATTGATATATTGTCTTCATTGGTGAATAATAGATATATTAATATATTGTTTCCATTGGTGATTGATACATTGTCTCCATTGGTGAATAATAGATACATTAATATATGGTCTCCATTGGTAATTAATAGATACGTAGATACATTGATATATTGTCTCCATTGGTAATTAATAGATACATTTATATATTGTCTCCATTGGTGATTTAATAGATACATTGATACATTGTCTCCATTGGTGAATAATAGATACATTAATATAATGTCTCCATTGGTAATTAATAGATACATAGATACATTGATATATTGTCTCCATTGGTGATTAATAGATACATTGATATATTGTCTCCATTGGTGATTAATAGATACATTGATACATTGTCTCCATTGGTGATTAATAGATACATTGATATATTGTCTCCATTGGTAATTAATAGATACATTGATACATTGTCTCCATTGGTGAATAATAGATAAATTAATATATTGTCTCCATTGGTGATTAATAGATACATTGATATATTGTCTCCATTGGTAATTAATAGATACATTGATACACTGTCTTCATTGGTGAATAATAGATACATTAATATATTGTCTCCATTGGTAATTAATAGATACATTGTCTCCATTGGTGATTAATAGATACATTGATATATTGTCTTTATTGGTGATTAATAGATAAATTGATATATTGTCTCCATTGGTAATTAATAGATACATTGATATATTGTTTCCATTGGTGATTGATAGATACATTGTCTCTATTGGTGATTAAGATATACATTGATATATTGTCTCCATTGGTAATTAATAGATACATAGATACATTGATATATTGTCTTCAATGGTGAATAATAGATACATAGATACATTGTCTCCATTGGTGATTAATAGATACATTGATATATTGTCTTTATTGGTGAATAATAGATACATTAATATATTGTCTCCATTGGTAATTAATTGATACAATGTCTTCACTTGTGATTAAGCTGTTGGTCCTTTCTGTGACGGATGTGACACTGGGTTTTCTCTCTCTTGCAGTGTATAAATACATGATCTGTGACCACATGCGCTCGGTCAGTATTTACACCAACGCTCTATTCGGGATCTGTTCCTACGCTGGATTTCACTGCGCTACTTACCAGGATTTCCGTGATGGGAAGTGCGTTCATTGTCTGGACCCCACTCTGCCCTCCTGCCCACAAATAGGTACACCGTTTAAATCATGCACCATTATTCAAAGTAAACGTTATTATAATTATTATTATAATTATTATTTAGCAAATTGAAAAAGTGTAAGGAAATGTTTAATATTTTTCTAATAAAGGGCCGAGAAATATTTTTGGGACTTTCTAATTAAAGTGGCCTATTGCAGGAAAAGCACGCTGGTAATATTGCGGTATCAAAAACTACTCGCAGGCATCAACCAGTCCTTCCACTGCGCGTTTATATACCGCCATACCACAACCACTGCGTTTATATACAGCCATACCGCAACCACTGCGCATTTATTATACATCAATACCACAACCACTGCGCGTTTATTATACAGCCATACCGCAGCCACTACCTGTTTATATACAGCCATACCGCAGCCACTACCTGTTTATATACAGCCATACCGCAACAACTGCGCATTTATTATACATCAATACCACAACCACTGCGTGTTTATTATACAGCCATACCGCAGCCACTACCTGTTTATATACAGCCATACCGCAGCCACTACCTGTTTATATAAGGCCATACCGCAGCCACTACCTGTTTATATACAGCCATACCGCAGCCACTACCTGTTTATATACAGCAGCTGCTATAGGTTTATACAGAGCAAACAATGGCCACTATCTCTTTGCTGCATTAACTGTACAATTATACAATGGTAGACTGACACTTTGCCCTCCCTTTACAAAGGAGCCAAATAGAGAGACTAATTCAGTGACCTTTTCTTAGAATTAGCTCCGTGTCCCATTCTACATGTAGAATACATTTTGAGAAACCCCTTTTCCTAGTTCAGAGTCAGAGGGTCCCCAACACCCTGCGTGGGGAATTTCCACTACCATAAACACATTGTGATCTGATACCTGGCCTCCGGGGATTATAAGGCAAAAAGCAACAATAAGCTAGCCGAGGTACATAAATTCAAATCTTTATTATGCAAGAGAAAAAAGTAAAATGGAAAAAACATATCAATCACAAAGCGGTAATAAAAAGCATACATTGTATTCAAAGCTGCCCGCTGCCCTGTATGCTCAGAAAAAATATTATCTGTTAGACCCTGAGATAATACAAAATATACATGTAAATATAAGGCCGGCAGTAAGTGAGCTGAGCATGGACTGACCTGTACTATAATCATTGTTGCTGCCTAAGAGTAGTGGGAGTTTGAGTGGACTTGTTTTTGTGTGTTTATATTTGACTTTGTTTTTGTATCACTCACCCCATGTGTTCTTTAATCTTTATTAAGGGTTAATAAGTGTGTAGGGGATTAGAAAAATCCCCCTCACTGTCTCATTAGCGAAATTGTTAGTGTAGGACCCATCTAAGTGGTTTGCCTATGTTGGCAGGGGAGCTTACCCTTGTAACGGCAGCATTGCTAAAAAAATAAACCTCTGTTATTTAAATGTACATAGGGATTTGGTAACTTTATTCATTTGTGTCACTGTATTCTATTGCTGTGATTGCTGATTCTATACTTTCTTTTTTTTTTTTTTTTTTATATCCGGTGTCATTTGTCAGCCGGACGGGGGCCGGTAATAAGGCAGAACACTACGATGGTACCAATGGCTTTCATGATGACCACAAGCAATGAGCCGTACTGCGGTGAGTGATGGGAGATGGAAGGTCCATCAATGATGTATGTAAATTCATGATAATATTCAGAAGCGTAACTAGAAACCAAGGGGCCCCGGTGCGAAAATTGCTCTGGGCCCCCCGCCCATATTTCTTCGCCCAACCCCTCCATGTGTCAAACTCACCCTGCCCAGCCCCTCTGTGTTTTCATTCACGCCTCACAGGGTGAGTGTGGCATGGTTGAGGGGATGAGTATGACAGAATTGGTGGGGTTCATGTGAAATGGAGCGAGTGTGACAGTGATGAAGAATGATTGTGACAGTGCTAGAGAAGGTGATTGTGATAGAGTGAATATTGCAGAGTGATGGTGAAGTATGGCATGGGTGAGTGACAGGATTGGGGGAGTTATTGTGAGTGTGGCAGGGTGAAGGGGGTGACAGTGTGTGTGTTGGGGTGACAGTTATGCAGATAAACAGAGAAACACACACACTGGCATACAAACACATACAGATTCACTCCAATGCAAAATGGAACTCTGACTCCCTCCTCCTCCTCCCGCGTGGCTCTCTATATTGGCTGGGAAGAAGTGACCAGGGCAGTCACTTCCTCCCAACTCTGACATCATCAAAGGAGGCCCGGTCGCGCTGTTAAACCTGTCCCCCTGGAAATTCCTTGCCACCAGGTGGCCCTTACAGCATGGGCCAACAGATAGGCCCCTTCAATGCAGCCAGTGGAGGCCGTAGTTCCGTCTACTGCACTAAGGACGTGGTTGGGAATTGGTCGCTGGGGAAAGGAATCAACTCCCTGGCATTCCCATTGTGGCTGGGGAGGAACGGCACCCTCTCTCCCAGGCTCTCACTCTGCTCTTGGGGAGAACTGCTGCTGGCATCCTCATCTTGGCCAGGATTCCGCAGTTGTGGATCTGGGCAGGCTGTCCAGCATTCCTGTAAGGCTGGTGCAGAGACCTCGTGTGGCAAAACTAGCCACTCAAGACTAGCCATATTGACTGTGTGTGTATCCCTGTTTCTGTGAGAACCAAGTGTATTACTGTATGTGTCCTTCAGACGAATGAGGGCGTTCGTATGCTTGCAGTATGGAAAACCCAGCTTTCCTAATGTAGTGAAACGAATAAACTACTGAATGGTCGACCACACACAAGAGGTCGTGTGGCGCCCATTAACCGATTTGCAACATTGTTGTTCGACTACCGACCACGCGGCGGTCGGCCATCTTGGATCCTTTGTTAGCCCAGCGATGTTTTGCCGTCGAGCACCTGGAACTAAAATCGGCTACTCGATGGCGCGAACACCGCTGGACTTCCAGGCCGTTCAGAAGCCCCGGCCGTTCGGTAGTTTGTTCCCTTAATACCAATCGGTAGGTTGCAATGTGTTAGAAATAATGTGTATTTTGTGCGGCGTTAGGTTAGTTAGACTGGGAGCTGAGCGGTATTCTCACGAACTGTGCACTCAGCCTCCAGCTATCTACCGAACGTCCATTCGTGTAAATCAGGGGAATATTATTAAAGTTATGTATTTTAATGTGAAATGTAAGTTCTGCTGTACGGAGGGATAATCCCATTAACGGTATATTCCAGTGGGAGTATCGCTCTCATCCAGGAGTGCATGATGGGAGAAATGTATGTGTTGGTCAGTTCCCCATGTAGTCCCCTACTGTACCACCCCTGGAATGTCAGTAGGGAAACCCCTTGCATGGGGAATCCCATAAATACAGTGACCTGTGATTAAAAGCTCAGTTGACTCCCAGCCTATGCGTCGTCTAGTTCTTGGGAGGGAAGGATTCTTATAACGCTACCGGGATTATTGTATGCTGTATTTATTTCCTTGGATTATTTTATGCTGTTCCTGTTACCCAGCGGAGATACTGTGGATTATACTACCTCTCCGCTACAATTGGTGGCAAGCGACGGGATTGAAACTACACAGCAAAGCAGAAACTGAAACGAATAGAGGAGAAAGAGCAGGAATTCGGGAGTTAACCCATTCGGATGAAACCGGAGCCAGGAACACGTGGAAACCCGCGAACGGCCGGTGAATGGGAACGAATTATGCCCTTTTAAAACGAAGCACACTAAAAGAATTGCTTGAAGCAAGGGGAGCAATAGCCAGGAACAAGGCAAAGGCTATCCTGATTGCAGAACTTATGGAAGGAGACAGAGCAGCAGCTGCTGCAGCAAGGAAGAACAAAATTAATTTGCAACAGAATTCAGGAGCAGGATGTCTCTATTCCCAGAACCACCATCTGCAGAGATGGTCAACAGGCTCTTCGCAGATGTGCAGGAATACATCATGCTCAGAAGGGCGCAGAGGAATCAACAAGCAGGAGAGAGAGCCACGACACTGGTCCATATTCTCCCAGGGAAAGTCAAGATCCCCTACCAAGCCTTCAAAAGCTATTCAGAGGCTGACAGCGGCGTGGATGACTACCTGCAGGATTTCGAAAGACTGTGTCTACTACATGACATCAGCGAGGCGGATCGGGTACCCCTACTAGCAGGGAGGTTATCCGGTCGCGCCGCAGAAGCGTACCGGGCGGTACCGGATGAAGACAGTAGGGACTATAACAAAGTCAAACAGGCGATTTTAGCCCGGTACGCAATAACTTCAGAGGCATACCGCATGAAGTTTCGAGATATTAAAAAGCCCACGAAAGACACTCCTGTAGAATGGGCACACCAGCTACAGCGAGCTGCAAAGGGGTGGTTGGAAGCCACCCAGGTTAACACGCTGGAGGGCCTGTTCCAATTGATGGTCCTGGAACAATTCTTCAACGGGATCCCTGCCTACCTACAAAATTGGGTAAGGGACCGAAAACTGCACACCCTGCAAGAGGCTGCCAAGCTGGCAGATGAGTTTCAGGATAACCGGAGGGACCAGCACACCCAGAATCGACCAGCATCCAACTCCGCACTGGCGATCACCGCAGTGACCCCCGCGATCCAGCCACGACCTGGCGTAAGCCAAACTACCTACCCCTCCAGGTACTCTGCACGGCCACCAATTCGGTGTCACACCTGCAATCAACAGGGGCACATCCAGAGGGACTGTCCACGTAACAGGCCCAGCTGGAATAATGCAGCACCTAGTAACCGAGCCGCCGTACACTGTGTACAGACAGAACCGTATAGGACACCAGAGGCGGCCACTCCCATGGAAGAACAATTAGGCACACTGCACGAGGTGAATCCTATCCAGGCCGCCTCTGATAACCAGCAAGGACACCGCCAGGAGGTACATATGGAGGGGAGAAAGGTACAAGGACTTCGTGACTCTGGGGCTACCTTAACTTAAGTCCGGAGTCATCTAGTACCAAAACCAAATCTAACTGGAGACTGTGTTGCTGTACGGGTGGCAGGGGGAGCGATTTACAAGGTACCTACAGCCAAAGTGCAATTGAATTGGGGAGCTGGGCACAGGAATGTATATGTGGGGATGATACAGGATTTGCCAGCGGATGTGATTTTGGGAAACGACTTGGGGGAGCTGACTTCAGCATTTGTTCCTCAGCCCACCATACAGGAAGCTTACCTGGTTGTGACCCGGCAACAGGCCTGCACCACTATGAGGCTCAGGTAAGCAATGACCCCCCCCATGCCCACTGTCATGCCATGGGCGAACCCCCTAGTGGCCCTAGACCCCTCCCTACAGGTATACAAAGACCGTATCGATAAAAATCAAGCAGGATTAGATGGGGAAAGGTATATCTGGGACAAAGGACTACTGTACAGGCATGCAGAAAAGTAGTGTCCAGATCCATACCTTTACTCATTAAACAACTAATAGTGCCTCAAAAGTATAGGTTAGAGTTATTACGTATCGCCCATGATATTCCCCTGTCTGGGCACTTAGGAATCAGCCATACGAAACACAGGCTGACCCAAAACTTCTTTTGGCCAGGTATATCACAGGACGTTAAGCGATATTGCCAGACCTGTGATACCTGCCAAAGAGTAGGGAAGAGGGGAGACCGATACAAAGCACGTCTCCGGTCTCTGCCCATAATTGAGGAGCCCTTCAGTAGGGTGGCGGTAGATATCATAGGCCAGTCCGTCCGGCAAGAAATATGTATTGACCGTGGTGGATTACGCCACCAGATACCCTGAGGCAGTAGCTTTAACCAATGTACATGTCGAAACGGTAGCAGAGGCCTTGATGCGAATATTCGCCCGGGTAGGATTCCCCCGGGAGATTATTTTGGATAGGGGCACTCAGTTTACTGCTGAAGTAACGCATCAGCTCTGGAAGATATGTGGGGTACAGCAAATCTTGAACTCCGCTTATCACCCCCAGTCCAATGGGCTCTGTGAACGGTTTAACGGAACAGTTAAACAGATGATCCGTACGTTCATAGATACTCCGAAAGACTGGGAAAGATTTCTACCCCACTTATTGTTTGCCTATAGGGAAGTACCCCAAGAATCCACCGGGTTCTCTCCGTTCGAATTGTTATTCGGGAGGAGAGTGAGGGGCACCCTTGACTTAATATGGGAACACTGGGAGGGAGAAGAGACCATTAACGGCACCCCCATCATACCCTATGTGCTGGAATTTAGGGAACGCCTGGAGATGCAGACCCAGACCGTCAGAGACAATCTCCAGGTAGCCCAGCAACGACAGCGCAGATGGTATGATAAGGGAGCCAGGGACCGCAGCTTTCAGGCGGGGCAAAAGGTCCTTATTCTGCGACCAGTCCACAAAGATAAGCTGCAGGCTTCCTAACAGGGCCTATACAAGGTGGTAGAACAGATCTGTGATACCACCTATGTGATCGGCCCGATCACAGGCGCGGGAGGCAAACGCATGCTCCATGTGAACATGCTCAAGCCATACCACGAGCGCACCGAAGAGGTGACCGCGATCTCTGCCCCTGCCGCTGAGGATTTTGATAATCTACCTCTCCCAGATCTCCTAGACCAGGAGAGCCAGAGCGGAGACCTGGGAGAAGTACAGTTAGGAGAGCGATTAAACTCCCAGGAGCGAACCCAGGTACAAAAATTAATCCAGGAAAAGGGAGCCACGTTTTCTAATCTACCTGGCTATACCCACACACAAGGTAGAAACCCTAGATCAGACCCCCCTTCACCAAACTCCTTACCGCATACCAGAAGCCGTCAAAGTATGCAGAAGGAGATTGCGGAAATGCTTCAGTTAGGGGTGATCGAACACTCTGACAGCCCCTGTGGACCTGAGAGGAGACTAGTTACCAGTCCCAAACTCCTCCCATGTGCCTGGGAGATAATTGAGTCAGGAACTGAACTAACTCAATTATCTGCAGACACAAAAAATCCACAATTCAGACATCCCAAAAACACCTTTTAAAACACACAAAAAAAAATGAAGTTACATCCACTGATAGCCCCGATCTGGGTGACCAACATGTCCAAAAATAACCCAGATCGGTTCGGGAATTTCCTGGAAGACCTACTTTGACCAACCGCACACGTTCAAACCGTTCCATAAAATCAGGGCTAGCGGTCGGTCTAGTTCAGTAGTTTAAAACCGAACATAGTCAATATTCTTACACTGGAGCTTGTTCCCCTTGTTCGTGGGAATGTTTCCACCGAACAGTGTCCTCCTAAGTGTTGTACAACGAACACAGTTGATGCTGGATGTCCAGCGGTGTTCGGGAGTTTGTGTCCATTTACAGTTCAATTAACTCGACGAACAAACACTGCTGCCTGCGTTCGTGCGAACAAGATGGCCGCTACCTCGTGGCCGTGCATAGGAAATGTGGCCACCCAGAGGAACACTTAGAACACTGCGGTGTAAATTGCTACAAAGTAGCAATTAGGCTTAACAAGCTCCTGGGTGGTCTCCAGGTTGTTCGGTTCCCTAACCATATAGTCCAAATACTCGAACTGAGACTTTTACAGGGCCCATAGTCTGTGGGTCGGAGGCTGGCAAGAAGCACCTTCAGGAGCTCGTGGCAAACTCTCGTGGGAAGGGGAGTTTGTCACAACGACAAACTGAAACGGCAGATGGACGGAACCTGATTCACCAGAATATTTTATTTATTTTTGACTAGACTGTTTTGACGAACTAAACACGCACAAGTCTAATGCGCATGAAAATGGTGAGAATTGGCTGAAACAAAATTCAGTTCCTTCCTGCTTTCTACAGAAAAGCAATATTCACAGTAGAATGTATGGAGCATATTGTTTGATTGCATTGAATGACCCAATCTGGAGCGGCCCCTATGGCAGCTAGTAAGAATCAGATGCTGGACAGATTATTTACAACTGTATCTCCTTAATACCGCAGCTCACCACATTTTGCTGGAGTTTACATTGGAAGAAACAGAATATCACAGTTTTACCATAGAGATCCAACTGATCAGTAATCGTAGCACGAGCACCACCAGAATGTACATGTGAGTCTCACTATATCTTCTAGTTTAACCCTGCTCCTAACTCCATCTTGCACAGATAGGATAATACAGATAATACCTACCTCTAGGTTGCTTTTATGGGCCTCATTTGTTGAGATGTTTAGGCACCAAAGGCACCATCAGAAAGACTGGCAGACACACACATACTCTTCCCCTCTGGCATTGAAGGTCTAACATGTTACTTCCCTGAAACCTAATCTCTCTTGTTGGCACCCTATGTGAAATTTAGCTGTCCCGGTAGGTAGACTGGCATCAGATTCCACAACTGGCAGAGAAGGATGACGATCCCACAGGGCCCAATATAAATTCACGTTTGGGGCCCGTTTACTCTTTGTATAAGATGTTGAATGGGGTCAAGTTTGACCAAGTATCTTCATGGCTCCCAAGCCATGTCTACTCTCTTTATCACACACTCCTTCACCCTAGTAGTTCACCCTATGGCTTGAAGTCTAAATGGCATATGGACAGATTACTTTGCAGAGTAAATTTCCCAATAACCTGCTTAACAAACATGTTTACTATGAGTTTCTTCATCGATAGCCCGGACCGCTCTGAGACTGAACATCACACACTCCCTTCACAGCTTTTGTTTGTCTAGTTTAGGCATAGGCAACCTTTGGCACTCCACACGTTTTGGACTGCACCTTCCATGATGCTTTGCCAGCATTATGCAAATAAGAGCATTATGGGGGATGTAGTCCACAACATCTGGAGTGCCGAAGGTTACCAATACCTGGTCTAGTTGCTTTCTACTTTTTGTTGTTTGTTCTTTTAACTTTTTTTCCTCCTCCCTGACTTTAACTTGTTCTTTGGGCTTTAATTCCCAAGATCTAAAAACACAGTGCAAGGGAGAAGTGTGATCGCCCACCAAGACCGGCTCTGCCTGATTCATACACTAGTTTTGCGGATTACTAAATCATTGTCCAGTCTCTGGAGGAGAGCGTTGGACGTCAGTGGAACGTTGTGTATTTCAGAGCTGCCCAGTTACAGGTAATCTGACATTTTAACCTGTTATCACTCTTCGAATGCACCAGCATTGTATCTACTTAATATTCAAATCAGATGTGAGTAGATGGCATTGTGCATTAACTCTGATGTGATTCCTCTGGGCCCCTCCAGCCAGAAAGTGTCACAGGACTTGTGCTGGTACTGCTCCATCTTATTGAAGTGGTTATAGTGTCTGGAGTCCCTTGACACTGTCCTTCCATTCAGCGTTAAACTGTTTTTTGTTTTTTTTTATGGTTTAATGTTAATCGAAAATGTTTTGGGTAGTGAGGAAGTATTAGCGAGCAGCAATGGGCAGCTGTGATTGGCTTAGAGTGTCTCAAAGCCCATTGCAGGTATGATTTAATACAGCTTGAAGGAAGTGTGCAATCTGTGCATTAGTCATACATCCATTGGTGGGCCGGGCTGTGAATGGAAGGGCACCGCCAGAGGACTCCATACATTCTAACCAACAGTAGTTGATATAGTAGTTATGGAGCCTATAGTAGCTCTTTATTGAAAACAGAGTTGTTAATTTGTGGTAGAAATCACCTCTTCCAGTTATCGATGATACATGACTGGATCCTTATTGTTTTGGTGTCTCCAAACGGTCAGTGAACCCTCACAGTGAGAGACAAAGTGTACCCTGGTGTAGTTCTGCAGTGAGATATAATTCAACATGAGATAAGGGGGAAATTAGTATTGTCTGGTGATGAAGGATTATGGTTTCTGCTCTGCTCCGGTCCTCCTGACCCACCACCTGTTCCCTCGATCTTATTCCTTCACATCTTATTTGGCCTCTGTATCCTTCACTTGTTCTGACCCTCACTAGAATACTCCTCTCTCCTTCTCCTCTGGCTTATTTCCTGCACCCTTCAAGCTTGCAACCACAACACGAAATTTACAAAAGCCCAAACAACCCAAACTCCCCATCCAACTACCACCACATCGCATTACTAACGTTTGCCTCCAAGATCCTTGAGAGAGTTGTGTACATAAGATTGACCGACGTCCTTGACTCTTAATCTCTGCTTGACCCACATCAGTCTGGAAATCATACTCGTCACTCTGTTGAAACAGTCCTGACCAAAGATCTAATGACTTAGTTGTTGCAAAATCCAACGGTCACTACTGTCTCCTAATTCTCCTTCTCTCCTCTTCTACTTCTGACATTGTTGATTAACTTCTTCATCTCAGGTTCTCATCCTTCGCAACCTTGGTCTACGAGACTCTTCTCCTCTCCCAGTGCTCGGTTTCCTATTCTGGCTCTTACTCTCCTCTGCTGCTGTCCCACTGCCTCCCTTAGTAAACTCAGATCTCTTGGCTTCCAATATCATTTCTATGCGGATGACACGCAAATATCGCTGCCCCTCTTGATTTATGTCTCTAACTGTCTCTCTGTGATTTCTAATTGGATGGCAGCTCACTTCCTTTAACCTGTCTAAAACAGAACTTTTGGTCTTTCCTCATTCAAACACTACAACCCTTACATCAAGTGAATCGCCAAACCCTCTTACTTCCATCTCAAAGACAGTCATATCCAGTGTTGGGTAGGGGCAGGTGAGAGCTAAGGTGCAGGTCCATGCTGCTCATCTTCCGCCTTGAGTACTGCAATCCGATTCTCAGTGGCTGTTTTAGTCTATAATGAATGCGACGGCGAGGCTCATGTTCCTGTCCGCCCGCACCTCCCACTCTTCCCCCTCTGTCAGTCCCTACATTGGCTTCCTGTAAGATATAGGACTCAATATAAAATTCTGGTACTTGCTTACAAATCTTTACATAATGCTGCTCCCAACTATCTATCCTCCCTAATACACAATTATGTTCCGTTCAGGCCCCTACGTTCTGCTGAAGACCCAAGTTTGTCCTCTGTCTGTACTCCCACCTCTGACTTCTACATTTCTCTAGGGCTGCAACTACAGTTCCTATGGATCTCCCTCCCTGCTCCATTAAACTCTCACCAGTCTTCATTCCTTCAAAGAAATACTGAAAACTCATTTATGCAAAAAGGCATATAAATTAAATCCCACATCTCCCTAACCCCATTCTCTCCTGCAACTGTATCCTCTAATAAACGAAGCCTTCATTGCAAACTATTCTAGTAATCTAATTCCCCCATGCATGAAATACACATTACTGGAAGTATTATTGCTGTGGAGCTGTTATACACTCAGACACATTACTGGGAGTATTATTACTGTGGAGCTCTGTTATACGCTGAGACACATTACTGGGAGTATTATTGCTGTGGAGCTCTGTTATACACTCAGACACATTACTGGGAGTATTATTACTGTGGAGCTCTGTTATACGCTGAGACACATTACTGGGAGTATTATTGCTGTGGAGCTCTGTTGTACACTCAGACACACCAGCAATATGGAGGTCCTAGAACAGAGGGATATTAGGAGAGAAGAGAGGGACATTTCTGAGTAGGGGTACACTAGACTTTTGGTCTTTCCTCATTCAAACACTCACATAAAGTGAATCGCCAAACCCTGTTACTTCCATCTCAAAGACAGTCACATTCAGTGTTGGGTAGGTGCATATGAGAGCTAAGGTGATCCGGTGGGATCCAGGAGACTACAGTTTCCGCCTCCAGCACGTGGCCAGTCAAACTTTGGCATTGCTGAGAGTTGCCGTGATAATCCTGCTGGGCTCGGGTCCAGTACAGCTCGGTGAAATCCAAACTTTTAACGGACTGACCTTTATTTCGACATCACATACAAACCCAGCCGGGGACTACATGTTCCATGATGGCATTGGGGAATATCTGCTTAGAGACCTTGCCTTGGATTAGAATACTGGACGGCAAACTTTACATTTTAATATAAAACACCTTGAGTTTGTCTGAACCCGTATACTAACAGGTGCATTGTGGGTACTGAAACCCTATCCATATAAAAGACATAACAGGACTCCCTCCTTATCGCAAGCATGATTCATTGTATTTTTTGGTTTAATTAGACTGTCTTTGTCTTTTGCAGGAATGAGATCTGTCTGCCCGAAACTGTGAAACTAATAGGAAACTCTCGGCAATATTATGACGTTAGTATTTACAGAAATAATACCTGTCTGAATAATTAGCAGAACTGGCAATGTATTATCCAGAGAATCTGAGGCATACTCGCACTACAACCACTGCAGCCCGAGGGTGCAAGGAAACACTGATGTCATTAAATGTGTGAAAATATTGTATCCGCAGTCACAGGATGTCCTGGATGGATGCAATATGTAACACCGCTATACGGTTTAGTGAATGGGCCCCTAATTGAGCTTTGTTACTCTAAGACTATGCAGTAATTTTAAAAATATATATATTTTTTTTTCATCGAAATTAACCATAGAAATAAAAATATTTTACCAAGTTATTATTTTACTGGTAAGCGTTTTTTTTATAAAAATTGTTTCTCAGGTCATGACATGGCTGTGGTTTCCAGAACGCTCTCCTTAGTTCGCTGTCCACCATGGTTCCTGGGTTTATGTGGGCATGGTTAGATGCAGTTTGTGCCCTAGCCAGCTGCACCCATGTTCCTACAATTTGTAAGCCCATGTTAAGCCATGTTTTGTTTGTGTAACCAGGAGTGGCTGTAAAATGAATACAGCTGCTATAACATGTCAGAATGAAATACTGATTCAGGACAGTGGTTAGCCTATATCAATATCTGACGGTGATCTCGACATTAAAACACATACATCAGGAGGGAATAGAAAGCATTTACGACTAGCTGTCATAAGATAATTATGTGAATGTCAATCATCCTGGCCAGCTAAGCATCTAACCAGCATCCGGACTTGGACTCCTCATCTGGGCTACCTTGCTATGGGGCCAATCATCCTGGGCATTAGATATACCATCCAGGCTAAATAGACATCTACCCTCAGACCGATTAGAGCTACCTGGGACCTATCAACCTGACTACCTAGACATGAGATGTATTCAACCATGCTCAAGGCTTTGACCCATTATCGCGGTTGCATGCATCTCAGACCCATATTTGTGGCTACCTGGGTCTCTTTCTCCTTTAAAGGAGATGGGAATTTATATATAGGGCATACCTTTCTCATACACAGAACATGCTCTATATTAACTTTATCCAAAAGTAGTTGAAACAAACACTCAGTGGTTTCAGTGTTCCATGTTCAAATAATTGTCTTGTATTCATGGTGTATACAAAGAACATCAAACATTGTAATAAAATATATCCTCCCCCACCCATGGCCATTCTGCTAAATACCCAAGTGGTCACTTGGAGGCCATAACACCGGTACCATCAGCCTAAGTGAAGGAAGACGTGTAGACAAATGTGAAGCACTCATGTAAGTAACAGGCAATCCACACATTTCATTGTAACATCTTATCACATGGTCCTGGAGTCCATCACATCTTACTGGTTCATTGGGGAGGACATATTGGCAGTGAGAATGCATTGTGATTCCAGCATTTAGACATCTGTCCCTCTCTCCTTTGTATCCATCCTTCTGGACTCCGAGAGAGTGCAGCCAGATTGTATCAGCAGTTATTGTCCCATGTACTTAGTGGAAGCCCTGTATAGAAAGGTGCGAGTTTATACACTAGTGAATTGTGCTCACAACAGAGTTGACTGGATACTTTCTTGTTCCCTAAAGTTCTGGAGTCTGAGTTGGGGCGAGAGGGGCTCTCGTGTGAGACAGGAGCCGAGGGTGACCTCTCTGCAGGACACTTGAAGCTGAAACACAAAGATGAGGACGTGTTACTTCAAAAACCTAGAGAATAGCATGTTCTTTATTAGAAGTGATTAAGTGGGAATGTACATTTTCGATGTCCCAGGATGTCTCACACCCTGTAGACCTAGAATTCCATGTGAAGCAAAGCCCACAGTACGAATGACCAGAACAAGTCTGGATGGAATGAGCTGCAAGGCCTGTTTATTTCTTATGGGTCACCACGATCTACGCTCTTCCAGAATTCTTGATGGAGGGTTTTACTGATAATTTTTGAGATCCTACAACGGGGTTAAGTCATCGAGTGTCGGATCAATGCATAATCCAAGCTTGACCCTAATAAACGTTCTATTCTGTTTTCTCATCTGTGGGCACAGATTATCAAATAAGAACATACATTGTTAATATAATCTATATCGTCATACAGGGAGGTGTGACTAGGGCTACATAAACAAATTGATTTAACTCCTAAATGCCAGAGAATTGAGCAGTGAGACTTCAGGGACATCTATACACCAAAACTGCTTCAGTAACCTAAAGTTGTATTGGTCCCTTCAAGGTCAAATTAGCCAAACTGGAAACATTCTCCAAGATTGATTTACCTCCAGTTTGGCTCTTCTGGTCTCAATGTGATAAGTACTTCCACTTTAGTGACCCATTAACCTATGGTATATCAATTCCAACCCCCAGGGCAGACTATCCAAACATTCTTCAAAATGTATGGGTGTCATTAAAAACATGGCCACTAGGGGGAGCAAGTAAACATACACAGTTTCATTCACTTTTTAAACATTCTAACACACAAGTTATTTACTAAAGTGAGAATTTAGGGTGAATTTCAATTCTAAAGCTGAAATAGTCAAAGAAGCAGGGCCGGACTGGGAATTAAAAGCAGCCCTGGAAAAAAAATATTTACCAGCCCCATAATGCGTCGCGCCAGCATAGTGTGCAGATACAGAGTTAGAACAGATAACTTAAAATTAAAAAGTACTTCAATGTAAAAAGCGCACTCATAGGCTTCAAAATAAACAAAAGTGCAGATTTATTTTAAGCAGACGTGCCTTTGCATGTAATCAATGTTTCAGTCCAACTACCTTGACATATTAAGGAAAGCTTGTTAATGGGACTGAAATGGTGAATGTATGTAGGGCACAACTGTAAAAAATTTTTATTTTGAAGTCCTGTGGGTGTGCTCTTCACTTTAAATATGTTATTGTGCTGGAGTATGCACCTAGTAACAAGACTGGGCCAATATCTGCTCATTACATATGGTACATATTAATGAAATTTCTCTGTGTATTATGCATATATAAATGTACATTAATATGTGTAACTATAATATATATATATATATATAAATATATATATAGAACTAATATACACATTAATATACATGTCATTTACCAGTGACGGATTCAGAGCCTGAGCCCGGGAGGGGCACTTGTAGATTATTTAAAGAAATATTCCATGCACAATAACCACTACTCCTCTGTGTAGTGGTTATGGTGCCAGGAGCGTCGGCACCCCCTCCCAGAGTAAGTAGTCGAACCGTTTAAGAACAGTTTGACAACTTACCTGGAGTCTGCTGGGATATGGGGCTGTAGTAGGGTATAGGATCAGTGGTGCAATGTGTGAGGGGTGCAATGTGTGTGAAAGGTTCAGTGTGTGTGTGGGGGGCAGTGTTTGAATGTGTTTGGTGTGTGTGTGTGTGTGGGGGGGGCAGTGTGTGAATGTGTATGGTGTGTGTGTGTGTGTGGGGGCAGTGTGTGAATGTGTATGGTGTGTGTGTGTGGGCAGTGTGTGTATGGGGCTAGAGTTCACTCCTACTACTGCGACCACCAGGAAGTGGTGAGAGTGAACTCTAACCCGTAGCTCCAGGGCTAGAGTTCACCCTCGTGAGAGCCGGTCTTTCTCCCCCTCACTGCTCCTCTGTGTCAATGTCTCCCCTCTCCTTCCCAGTCTCTCTCTTCCCCCTCTGCCTCTTTCTTCCAGTCCCCTTGTGTGTCTCTCTCATTTCTCCCTCTTTGTCTCTCTCTTCCCCCTCTGCCTCTTTCACCCCCTTTCCCTGTGTCTCTCCCTCTAACCCATCTCTCTCCCTCCAACCCATCTCTCCCCCCTTTCCATGTGTCTCTCCCCTATCCCCCCATCTCTCTTCCCCCTTTCCTGTGTGTCTCTCTCCTCAGCCATCTCTCCCCCCCTTCCTGTGTGTCTCCCTCCCCTTTCCATGTGTCTCTCCCCTCCCCCATCTCTCTCCCCTTCCCTGTGTCTCTCCTCCCTCTCTCCTTTCCTGTGTCTCTCCCTCTCCCTCCCTCCCCCTTTCCTGTATCTCTCCCCATCTCCTCCCCTACTTGCTTTCCTGTGTCTCTCCCATTTCCTCCCTACCCCTTTCCTGTCTCTCCCATCTCCCCATCAGCACTCCTCAGTGATCATCCCTCCTCCTGATGATGTCTCCCCTCCTTTCATAGTGATGTCTCCTCTTCCCTCCACTTGCTTTCCGCAGTGTCTCTCCTCTCCCCACTTGCTTTCCTGTGTCTCTCCTCTCCATCACCCCTTTCCTGATGATATATCCCTCCCCACTGCCTTTCATATTGATATATCCTCCCCACCCCCTTTCCTATTTGTGCCACTCCTCTCACTCCCTCAGCTCATAGTGATGTCCTCTCCCCTCCCTTCCTGTCCATCGGCTTCCTGTGTCTCTCCTCTCCTCCACTCCTTCCTGTGATGCTCCATCTCACTCAGCTGGGTGATGTCCCACTCCTTCCTGATGATGTCTCCCTCTCCTCCTCCTTCCTGTGATATATCCCGCATCCTTTCCGCAGTGATGTATGCCTCTCCGCCCCTCCTTCCTGTGTCTCTCCCTCCTTTTCCTCCTCAGCACCACTCTCCTCCCCTTTCCTGTGATATGTCCCCGTCTCCTCCCTGCAGCTCATGATGATGCTCTCCATCGCTCCTGTGCTCCTCTCCTCCACTCCTTTCCTGTGTCCTCCGCCCTACCCATGTTGATATATCCCCACTTGCCCTTTTCCCTTGATGGTCTCGGCCACTCCTCCCATCCCTCCTCCATGATGATGCTCGGCCCACTCCATCATCACAGCACCGCCAGTGATGTCAGCACCATGTGATGATGTATGCGGCACCATATTGTCTTATACACTCCCCGTTTCCTGTGTCTCTCCCTCCCCGTTTCATTGATATGCTCACTCCATCACTTTCCGCGGTGATATGTCACATTTCCGCGTGATGTCACTCCATCCTCAGCGGCACCGCAGTGTCCCTCTCGCAGCATACAGCACCGTTGATATATGCTCCTCCACATTTCCGCAGTGATGCTCTCATCATCGGCACCGCAGTGATATGTCGGCCTACGGCTCGCGGTGATGCTCACGGCTACCACCAATGCTCCTCTCATCGTTAATATACATATTTCCCTCCTCCGCAGTGATGCTCTCCTCTCCTCCTCCCTTCCTGTGATCCATCACTCCATCGTCAGCACCGCAGTGATTATCGCACTCGGCCTCGCAGTGATTATCCCTCTTCCATCACATTTCCATTTCCGCGATGATGTATCACTCTCCTCCCCGCGGCACCACGCCAGTGATATGTCACTCTCCATCGCGGCACCGCCAGTGATTAATATGCGGCACCATCCTCCGCCATCGGCACCATGATGTATCATGCTCACTCCCATCAGCACCATAGTGATATGTCGCTCCTCCTCGGCACCATGTTGTTGTCTCCTCTCCACTCAGCGCCATATTGGTCTCTCCTCTCCCCATCCCCTTTCCTGTGTCTCTCCTCACCCTCCTCCACCTTCCTGGTGATGTCTCCTCTCCCACGGCCCTACATAGTGTCATATCCTCATCACTCCATCCCCGCTTTCCTGTGGTCTCTCCCTCTTCCCTCCTCCCCTCTCCTGTTCCTCTGCCGTCTCCCCGCACCCAGTTGCAGCAGAGCCAGGGGCGTACGTTCCCGAGACTGAATGCGTGCAGCTGATGCCCCACCGGGAATTTCCGGTGTCCTGTGGGCCAGTCCGGCCCTGCAAAGAGGAGAATGTGTCTAAGTCTAAGCTTTCAGTTTGGCTACTCTGGCATTAAACGTGAGTTGCACTTTGAATTCTCACCTTGGTAAATATCCCCGAGTGTGTGTTAGCTGGTCAGCGAACACCTATATAAACTATAGATAGATATAGGATACAAAGGACATGATCACAGTGGGACAGCAAAGCCTTACACGCAGCTACCAATAGTGTGACTGCCAGCGTGGCTCTTAATCACAGGCCATGCTAAGATACCAATAGTGTGACTGCCAGCGTGGACCCTGATCATAGGCCATGCTATGATACCAATAGTGTGGCTGCCAGTGTGGACCCTAATCATAGGCCATGCTAAGATAGCAATAGTGTGACTGCCAGTGTGGCTCTTAATCATAGGCCATGCTAAGATAGCAATAGTGTGACTGCCAGCGTGGACCCTAAACATAGGCCATGCTAAGATACCTATAGTGTGACTGCCAGTGTGGACCCTAATCATAGGCCATGCTAAGATACCTATAGTGTGACTGCCAGTATGGATCCTAATCATAGGCCATGCTAAGATACCTATAGTGTAACTGCCAGTGTAAACCCTAATCATAGGCCATGCTAAGATACCTATAGTGTAACTGCCAGTGTAAACCCTAATCATAGGCCATGCTAAGATACCTATAGTGTGACTGCCAGTGTGGATCCTAATCATAGGCCATGCTAAGATACTGTAGCAGACCGGCAATATTCAGCGCTGAAAAGCAAGGCAATATCCCAAATCCCCCAGTAACCGGACGAAACACAGTTCTGGGAGTCAACTGAGGTCTTTATTTGCAGCTCCAGTATTTATACAAGTCCCCATGGAAAGGGTTTCTATATTGCCTTAGCAGGGGTAACACAGTAGGGGACTACATGGGGGACTTCACATTTTGGGCATTTCTCCCATCAGGCATTGCTGCACGAGAGGGATACTCCCACTGGATACTCCCACAGGGACTCCCGAACGGTCTGGAAGCCCAGCAGTGTTCGCGTCGTCAAGTAGCCATTTTCAGTTCCATGCGCTCGACAACCAAACACCGCTGGGGAACAAAGGATCCAAGATGGCCCACCGCCGCGTGGTCGATAGCCGAACGGCGGCCACCTAGGAGAGCCTCTAATTACCAATTGTTGCAATCGGTTAACAAGCGCCACACGTCCCTTAGTGTGTGGGCTATTAGAAGATAGTTCATTCGGTTCACGAACGGCTCGCAAAGGTGCCGTTCGTGAAACGAAATAGAATATGACTATCTGCTTTCGCCAGATAGCCAATACAAGCAATACAGCATACAGGATACAGCAGATTACAACCAGGCACATATACAATGGTATTAAAGATACAGGCAACCCTTAAAAACATATTGTCTCTGTTTAGTCCAAGTGGCTAGGTTTGCCACAGATACCAATAGTGTGACTGCCAGTGTGGATCCTAATCATAGGCCATGCTAAGATACTTATAGTGTAACTGCCAGTGTAGACCCTAATCATAGGCCATGCTAAGATAAATCAAAATTGTTAAAATCAGAGCCCTAAACAACGGCAGATCTTCCTGGAGGGATGGGGAAGTTTTCTATGGGGAGCTTTGTGGGTGAGGGAGGACTTTCTTGAGGAGGTGGAGCTTTGTGGGTGAAAGACATTTTCTGAGCGAGGTATACCTTTCTTGGAGGAGGAGGAGGTGGAGCCTTGTGAAGGAGGGGGATGCTGCTGAGGGAGAAGAAGCTTTTGGAGGGGGTGCATTTGATAGAGAGGTGGAGTTTTCTTTGAGAGGGGATATTTCTTGGGAATTGAAGCCTGTGGGAAGGAGGGGAGTTGCATTCTTTGTGGAGAATCAATGTTTAGTAAATAAATCCCCAATTAAAATATGGATGTGTTTTTTATATTGTGGTGGATCTAAAACTAGCTTGCAAAACCTGCTGATCTCTTGTCTGCAGCCTTTGCAAGCCCTCCCCTTCTAACCTCGCCCAGACTTTCTGTGGCTGTCCAATCACAGACTTCCCAATGCAGCTCAATGAGTCTTTACAAGGCAGGTGCTCTGGGCAATATCTGCCTCTTGAGTTTATCTCCCCTGAGCTAAACAAACCAGGAAGTAACAGGGCAGGTTCTAATGAAATCTGGACTTTTTGTAAACTGACAAAGCTAAAGTTTTTGAGGTGTGTGGAGTGTTCCTTTAATGCTTTGCGGGAGCAGAGGCTTGGTCAGGAAAATGATGACCTATCTCATTACTGTCTATTTATTATTTATTGGTCCTGCACCATACAATGACAGTGTGCCACAGAGATCTCCGCACCCATCTGGTTACCAGCATACCGTGACACATACTGCACGTCACCGTAAGTCCTGACTCCTGATACTTCTGACACATAAAGGGTTAAGTTTGTATAAAATATTTGCGATTTTCTACTTTTACATCTTTCTGTTTAAATCCAGCCAACTCACACGGGGAATAATGATCAATTATTGGACATATAAATGTTTGTGCATCTAAATGCATAGCAGCAAAACATATAATAGACTGTACACACAATGTACACACGGACTATCATGCCAAGCCTGCACGCACTCTGTCTCCTGCTTTATGTCTGAGCAAAATAACTGCAACATGGCTAGGCAGGGCGATACCAGCTGGGGCTGTACATCACACTGACAGACAGACTGTACATCACACTGACAGACAGGCTGTACATCACACTGACAGACAGGCTGTACATCACACTGACAGACAGACTGTGCATCACACTAACAGACAGACTGTACATCTCACTGACAGACAGACTGTACATCACACTGACAGACAGACTGTGCATCACACTGACAGACAGGCTGTACATCACACTGACAGACAGACTGTACATCACACTGACAGACAGGCTGTACATCACACTGACAGACAGGCTGTACATCACACACACAGACAAACTGTACATCACACTAACAGACAGACTGTGCATCACACTGACAGACAGGCTGTACATCAAACTGACAGACAGACTGTACATCACACACACAGACAAACTGTACATCACACTGACACAGGCTGTAGATAACACTGACAGACAGACTGTACATCACACTAACAGACAGACAGACTGTACACCTCACTGACAGACAGGCTGTACATCACACTAACAGACAGAAAGACTGTACATCACACTGACAGACAGACTGTACATCACACTAACAGACAGGTTAATACATCGCACTGACAGACACGCTGTACATCACGCTAACAGACAGACTGTACATCACACAGACAGACAGACTGTACATCACACTAACAGACAGACTGTACATCACACAGACAGACAGACTGTACATCACACTAACAGACAGACTGTACATCACACTGACAGACAGACTGTACATTTCACTGACAGACAGACTGTACATCACACTAACAGACAGACTGTACATCTCACTGACAGACAGGCTGTACATCTCACTGACAGACAGGCTGTACATCTCACTGACAGACAGACTGTACATCACACTAACAGACAGACTGTACATCACACTGGCAGACTGTACATCAATCAGATGGGTAGGTGGATTCATGCGGTACCTCACATGATACAGATTAATAGATTCACACAGGTGGGTACAGGTTAGTAGATCACACAGGCATGCAGGCTGACATAGACTAAATCTAAATTCATACAGACAGGCTGTACATCACACCGACAGACAACCGGGTACAAGCTGGTATAACACACTGGCAGGAAGGCTGGTAAATCACATAGGCAGACAGTCGGATACAAGCTGGTACATCAATCAGATGGGCAGGTGGGTTCAGGTTAGAACATCACACAGACAGGCAGGCTGGTACATCACATGGCAGGCAGGCTGGTATATCACACGGACATGCAGGCTGGTACATCACATGGCAGGCAGGCTGGTATATCACACGGACATGCAGGCTGGTACATCACACGGGCAGGCAGGCTGGTACATCACACGGGCAGGCAGGCTGGTACATCACACAGACAGGCAGGCTGGTATATCACACAGACATGCAGGCTGGTACATCACACGGGCAGGCAGGCTGGTACATCACATGAGCAGGCAGGCTGGTACATCACGTGGCAGGCAGGCTGGTACAGGCTACATTACACAAACATGCAGGCTGGTACATCACATGAGCGGGCAGGCTGGTACAGCACACAGACAGGCAGGTAGGCCAGCTAGGTACTTACAGGGAGATCCCTCACCAGCTGTCACTCCCCCTCTTACTTCATATACTCCCCCTCGCTCACATAATCCATAAACGACCCGGGGAGTTCAGCAAAATCCTCCAGGATTAAGCTTGTGGAGTCCTCACCCATAATGCCACTCTCAGGTGGTGGAGCCCTGATTCCTCCAGGCTGGTGAGACATGACTGGTGGCGCCTTGTGGACGTGCCATGGGTCTTGCGGAAGAAGGGAGGCCAAGGGTTCCACCGCTGACCCTATCGCTGCTGCTGACTCTGAGTATGGTCCCAGAACACGGTAGAGGCTGGGTAGGCGGATGTCAAAGCGCAGTCCAAACTTGGCAAAAAGCTTGTCGTTCAGCGCGTAGAGTTTCTGGGAGATGTCAAAGCCAAGGAGTACTGCGAATAGACGGGCAATGTACTTCTCCTTGGCCAACAGAAGGTAGAGCTTCTTTCTAGGCCAGCTGATGTAGCTACAGTCTGTCTCTGCGGTAAGTGTTACCTGGGGACACAAATAACCTCATGTTATAAAGGGACCAGTAAAATCCAAGGACATCTGGGCTGTCTCTGGACTAGTCTGGGGAGAGCTCTCAGCAAACTCCACGATCAACAAGCAGGTTCTCAAAACGACTCTCCTGGGGTCAACAGACCAAATGTAGATTTCTACACTTAATTTAATTTTTCACACCTCACAAATACGCCACTTGTTAAATATAGAGATAAGTGAACATAATATTGGAAATGAGTGACAGATCTTTAAATGCATCATTACCTTAAAGGAACACTATAGGGTCAGGAACACAAACATGTATTCCTGACCCTATAGTGTTAAAACCACTATCTAGCCCCCCTGGAACCCTCATGCTCCCATAAATATAGCAAAATCTTACTGTATTCAAGCCTGAAGCTGTAGCTCTGCATGCTGTTTGCCTAAAAAAAAACAAGTAGTCTGCTGACATCATCAGAGGTGGTAGCCTGATCCAATCACAGTGCTTCCCCATAGGATTGGCTGAGACTGACAAAGAGGCAGATCAGGGGCAGAGCCAGCACAATTGCAACACAACCCTGGCCAATCAGCATCTCCTCATAGAGATTAATTGAATCAATGAATCTCTATGAGGAAAGTTCAGTGTCTGCATGCAGAGGGAGGAGATACTGAATGTTTGGATGCATTTTAGGCAGCCATGACCCAGGAAGGATCTCTACCAGCCATCTGAGGAGTGGCCAGTGAAGTTATCACTAGGCTGTAATGTAAACACTGCATTTTCTCTGAAAAGACAGTGTTTACAGCAAAAAGCCTGAAGGTACTGATTCTACTCACCAGAATAAATTCAATAAGCTGTAGTTGTTCTGGTGACTATAGTGTCCCTTTAAACACACGTTATAGGTAATATTGCATGGTTTATAGATGTTGTGATTTACAGGGAAATTAACGTTTGTTGTTGGAAAAATTACTCAAAGGGCTATTTATGTATTAATGGCATTTATAAATGCCATATTTCGCAGTGCTGTACAATTGGGGAGAAAAAGATAGTACAAGATGCACAGACCAATACAGTCAGTAATATCTATCCATTGATGCTCTTTTATACAAAGTGCTTAGGTTTATAGTCGGTCCATGAGCTTACAATTTACATAGTTACATAGGCTGAAACAAGACGTGTCCATTAACTTCAACCTTTCTCGGATCTATTTTACTGCTGGTCCAAAAGAAGCGCTTTCCAATTTTGCAACAAACTAGGAAAAAATTCCTTCTTGACCCCAACATGGCAGTCAGATGTCTCCTTGGATCAAGCAGCTATTAACCCACTAATTAAAATTGATATCCCTGTATGTTATGTTATTGCAAGTATTCATCCAGTTGTTGTTTAAACATATGTACAGACTCTGATAAAACCTCCTCTTTAAGCAGATAATTCTATATCTTTATTGTGCTTACTGTAAAAATCTAAATCCCTCTGCAGCAAAGTAATATCCTGATCACATTTTATTACTTTACAGAGTTTTGTGTCATCTGCAAACACTGAAACATGACTTTCAATGCGGTCTTCAAAATCATTTAGAAACATATTAAATAGAAGGGGTCCCAGAACAGACCCCTGAGGGACATCACTTGCCACCTCTGTCCAGCTTGAAAATTTACCATTAATGACAACTCTCTGCACTCTATCTTTTTGCCAATGTTCTACCCAAGAACAAGAATTTTCATCTAGACCGATTTCTTTGAGTTTGAACACTAACCCATTGTGAGGAACCATACCAACCATATAAAAAACGCCTTGGAAAAATCCAGGTAGATCACATCCACTGCAACACCCTGCTTACTTCTTCGTAGAATGCAATTAGGTTAGTTTGACATGAACTATGTTTCATAACACCATGCTGATTATTGCTAATAACAAAGTTCTTGTAACTAGGCCAGTATTTGAGGCTGTGCGACCAGTGTCGGTATTGCAAAAATACCAACAATGCACATGCCGGTATGTTGCTCTGAGTACAATGTGTTGCAATATCGGCACTGGTCACCAGGGTGTGTAGTGTTCACAGGCAGTGCCTGGAAAACTGGTTGGTGCTTGGCTGTGTGGAGAGGGCTGTGATGAGATATCAAACAACATGTCCCGCCCGCTCTACTAATAGAGTGCGCATGGGAGGAGTGAGAGGAGCATGAGCTACAGAACAAGATGGCAGTAGGACCTGAGTAGGTACATGTGTATGCATGTGTATGTATTCAGCAATCTGTGTGTGTGTGCATTCAGCAATCTGTGTGTGTATTCAGCAGTCTGTGTATGTATTCAGCATTCTGTCTGTGTGTGTGTGTGCATTCAGCAATCTGTGTTTGTATTTAGCAGTCTGTGTATGTATTCAGCAATCTGTGGGTGTGTGCATTCAGCAATCTGTGTGTGTATTCAGCAGTCTCTGTGTGTGTGACAAATGCCCTTGGGTCTGGTCGTTTACCACAGGCTCCTGTCCCAAGATTATGGGCCATGCAAAATACACTGAAAAAGGCTCTGTTCGTGTGATTTGGGACTATGTTGTTCAGGAACCGAAAAACCGCACGAACCAGAGACCACCTGGGAGCTTGTTAAGCCCAATTGACACCTTGTTACTAGTTCCACCGTAGTGTTCTAATTGTATGTTTGGGTGACCGCATTTCGTATGAACGACCACAAGGCGGCCATCTTGTTAACACGAACGCAGGCAGCGGTGTTTGGGCATCAATCTCCTGGAACTAAAATAGGACACAGAAAGTCCCGAACACCGCTGGACTTTGATCATCACCTGCGTTCAGTTCTATACGACTTAGATGGGCACTGTTTGGTGGAAATGTTCCCACGAACAAAGTGAACAAGCTCCAGGGAAGAACTATGGATTCCGTTTGGTAGTTTGTTCATTTTTAAACAACCGAACTTGACCTACCATTAGCACTGATTTCATGGAACTGATTTGGGCATAGGACCATGTGCACGGTCGGTCAAAATTATGACTTCCAGGAAAATTACCTTTATAAAAGAAGCAAAAAACCTAAGGCTTGGCTTCAAACAGCAAGGCTATCCTAACAAAATACTTAAAAAGGCATTTCAACGAGTCTCAGAAATTACAAAGTGAAGGATACTAAACCTATAATTAGATGTATAGGCACTTATGATCAACTATGGAATCCTATCCGAAAAATCTATGCAGACAATTGGCCGATACTCACCCACAACAAAGAGGTGGCCACTAACCTTTCTACATTCCCAAGTATCACTGCAAGACGAGCTAACAATCTACGTGATCTACTAGTTCATAGTCATCTTGAACCAAAACCATCACCTAAGACATGGCTACAAGAAACAAAGGGAATCTTTAGATGTGGGAAGTGTAAGGCATGTAGGTTTATTAAACCATCAAAATCAGTCTTATGCACCAATACGCAGAAAACATATCCGATTAATGATTGTGTTAATTGCAGCACCACAAAAGTAGTTTATATCATCACTTGTAGCTGCAAACTACAATATATAGGAAAAACCTTCCAAGAACTGAGAAGGAGAATCCTACAACATGTGAATTCAGTCTCAAACCTAAACATTTCCACTCCTGTCTCCAATCACATAAGGAACTTCCATAACTCGGATGCTTCTCATCTTATGTTTCAGGCTTTAGAACGTATCCACCTGAACACTAGAAAGGGTCATTATAATCTCACCCTATTAAGGAAAGAATCCAGATGGATACACAAATGTAAGACCTTATCCCCTTTGGGATTAAATGAAGAGTTCAACTTTACCCCCTTCATTCACAAATAAATGCATAATTAGTCATTATTAGGTCAATTACAAACATTCTCTATTTTAAAATCTTAAAAACGTTCATTAATGTTACACTTTAATGTTGATAATAGTTAATGTATAAGTTTTGGAATCCATTAATATATCTGCACTAATCAGTAAATTGTTTAGCAAATAAACGTTGTTACATTCGGTCTACTAATTATGTTACCGTTGTTATTCACATATAAGTTACAATAATGACCTTACTGTCATTTTGATAATTATCGTTACTTATATACTTTTTTCTCTTTCTTACAATTATTTTATTTAGCGATAAACCAGAAGATTCAGGTAAACATAGGGTTAATCAACCAATTATTTTTTAATGATTGAGATTCCCTCCCAAAGCTACCATTGGTCAGAATCCTGAAAAGCTTCCAATCAAATAAGAGCTTATGATTTAAATACTCCTTTACTTACCTGTATCTGGTTCCCCTCTGATGAGCCTCACTGGCGAAACGCGCGCGTCAGGGGTTCTGGACACATACTAACACATTATTGGTGTCGGCATCTAACTCTCCACTTACCAATTGCGATATTACCAACATTAAGTGCATTTATATCCAGTATCTCAGGAGTGTAGATTGGAGACTCTTAACACTAATTTAGTGCACTTTGTGTATATACCTTATTTCTCTTTCTTTTTCTTTATTATAATTTATGGGGGGAGATTGATTAGACCAGGTATTTGATTAAGGGGTGCCCTTGAAGGCACAAGACTCACTCTATCTTTTTGCCAATGTCCCTTACTGCCCCCACCCATTGTGCAGGGGTGGGGGCCGGGGGGGAGAGGACAGTAGGTCCCCCCCCCATTGCAATTTATGGCCCCCACCCACCGGCGTAGGGGTGGGGGCCGGGGGGGCTACTAGGGTGGGTTTTTTTTGTTTGTTTTTTTAACAGTAAGCAGCCACATGCTATACCGCGAGTAGGGGCATTCGGGAGATTTTATTCTCCTTTATGCTAATATGGGGGTCATATTGACCCCCATAGGGCCCACTTACTGAGAGGGGCCCCCTTGAGGGGGATCCCGATAACAGTGTCATTGCACTTTACTGCATTGACAAAGGGGCGCTCAACAGTTTGTTGTTGCATTTTATTCTTAACCAGTCGTTGTCTTGGGGCCCTAGGTCAGCTCGGGGCCCCAAGCAATTGCTTTGTTTGCTTGCCTTGTCGCGACGGGCCTGGCGGTCGGTCACAAAGGACTTCCGTCTAACTTTTTATCTACTGGAGGGATTTGTATGATTGTTGAGTGTTCACATTTGAAGTATGCTGATTAAGAATATGTGATTTTTATGAAGATTGGATGTATAGTTTTAAAGTTACAGTATATGTGTAAAAAGTATATTTTTCCTGCCTGTGATAATTACATTAACCCATTGTGTACAGTAATTATATCACAGGTAGAAGGGAGGATTTTGTGGGAATGAATGGGAGTGTTTTACCTTTTCCTTCAACAGAGGTACCCAGTCGGGGTGCCAAGCGATCCGTTACACTATATATACACACAACATACACCGACATAGTAGACCCACACTCACAGTATACAGACACTGACACATGCTCAGACAACAGT